TGTCACTATGCTCCCACTAGTTCTTAGTAAACACACATGTTCTATTCATTTTGATATAAAAGCATACCTTATGGTTTCATATTAAAATGATGATTACAACATTTAGATATTTGCTTTATATCCATAAGTGGATCTTAATCTCTATACATTCTGTTAGGATAACATGGATTAAGAAAACCTCTAGGCTATAATCTTTATAGATAATAGATATCTTCTAGTAGATGTCTATTAAGAAAAGCGGTCTTTCTTGAAATATATTTGCTATATCTCATATTAAGAATATGAATTTATAGTAAATAATAACCTTGTTGATCTAATCATAGCTACTCATGACAAAGGTTTGATCATAGTTAATGTCATGAGCATGATAAGGACCATGATCAATGACATGAGTATAGATCTATACGAGGTTGACATCCCTACCTGCGGTTGCTAGCTACACCTCGATCGATCAATCAAGGCAGGTGATAAGTGTCTACGATCGTTACTGCAACATCTAATGAAGCGTTGTAGGGGTACATTTAGTCACATGGCTCAGTTATAGGACTCACTGTAAACATTAACTAAAAACTCTCATTTTCTACAAACCATGAATTTGGTTGTTTTCAAACTATTTTTAAATATGGTTATATTTACGAAGACAATACTTTTTAGACTTTCTAAAAGCATTTTATTGCGGTTAGCAGAAAACCTGTAACTCTCACCAACCTTGTGTTGACTTTCAAACTACATGTATTCTCAAGGAACCAGTGATTTCAAGCATATTCAGACATTGGAAAATCATGGATTGCAGGCAATTTAAATTCTAGTTTTTGTAATGTTAAGCCTAACTGTTATGGCAATTCATGTATTATTATTATTATCTGTATGAACCCTGTTTTCAAACTTAAAGATGGAATACAAATGTTGTTTTGTTTATTTTTGTACTTGTGCCATATATTCAGTTTACCCGTGATCTATGAACTTAGTCGCACAGCCCGACATGTTCCGCCGCCTCGGTCGGGGGTGTGACAACTTCCCCAAACCCATTCTATTCTTAGCCTCCACCTCTCCAACACCCTCCCTTGAAATCCTAACCAAATTTTAAGCATTGTAAGCAAAAAGAATGTATTTTGAAGTGCTTTGGAGTGTTCTTGGTGCATCTTGGAGAAGAAGGAGCTCATTGGAGAAGTTATGGTTGCATTGGAGCTTGTAGATCCAGCCTTTGCTCACCTTGATATTTCTTCTAAACGTATAAAGTTTGAATCTTGTTGATGCATTTGATAAATCTAGCTACTCTTGGGTGTTATGAGCTTTTGGTCACTTTAGTACATAAAGTTTAGATCTTGAAAGTTTGTGACCTTGTTATGGATAAAGTTGGAAAATTTATCCATCTAAACATCATATTTGATTCAGATCTAAAAGCTTTATACTTGGACTTAATGGACAAATTTGGAAAAGATGCACTTTTGGTCCCTTTGAGACTTAAAGACTAGATCTTGGCTGGTTGGACCATTCTAATGTATAAAGTTGGAAACATTATCCATTATGGAATTATTAGAAACCATAAAAATGCATTCTTGATGTGTTATATTGGACCATGCATGAGTTAGGACTCTTATTATGGGTTTTAATGGTAAAAAAAAGTATTGGGTCCCATTGAGACATGTCAATGAGTAAAGTTGCCAACTTTACGTGTTAAGACATTATTTAGGATCAAGATCTGAGAAATAGACTTAGTGGCTTAACCAATTAAGAACTTAATGGTGAGATTGGGTTGTTGTTGAGTACGATGAGTGTACCCAGCTTGTACGCAGTGCGTACTGGCCAAAGGTGGCGTAAGTTGGAGTACGCTAGGCGTACTCAGCAGCTGTTGACTTTTATGATTTGGACTATTAGGGTTTTGGGCCTTGTTGGACCACTAGTCCTTTTGACTTTGGTTCATTGTTAGGCATAGGGCCTTATTGGATTTGGACCAAGAATGGGTTTTTAGTATCATTTAGGAATTTGGGCCATATTAGGCTTTTGGTGCCATTGGGTTGGGCCTCGGTTATTGGGCCAAGTGAGAAAATGGTAAAATGGTCTTTTACCCTAGAAGTTGGAAAAATGAATCAGATTCCTAATTTTGGTTTATGGCCTAATTACTAATTGTGATTTTATTTAATTGATTAGCACGGGGATTATCCGGATCCGCAGTTCGAGCGTTTATTTGATTTTCAGCGGTTTGAGGTGAGTCTCCTCCCAGTGTTTGGCGGGTCGAAGGCACCAATGACGACCTATGGATTATTATTATTTGTACGCTATTTGTCTGTGTGCCTTTTGTATGTGTTGTATGTATGTCGGGCAGGGACTGATAAGTGTGTTATAGTATGCTAGTTGTCTTTGTGACTCTTGTATGTCTTATGTGTAATTGCATGTATACCGTGGCGGGGCCCGATGCCAGGCAGGGTCTGATGAATGTGATGAGCGGGCCTAATCTCATGTTCTAACATATCTGTTCTGAACGGGGTTCGATGCCAGGCGTGGCCCGATGGTTGCTGGGCATGGCCCATTGTATGTTTGGTATGTGTGGTATGTAGTATTTTGGGGAGCTCATTTAGCTTTGTACTTACAGTTTTATGGTTAGGGTTTCAAGTACTTCCGGTTCGAAAGAGAAGGACCCGGCTTGATTGCAATGCATATCCCCATGTTTTCGCAACTTTATGATTTTGGGATTATACTCTGATAACTATTTTTGCTCTGATATACTTTTAAATGTTTGGAAAAGGATAATTGGTGTTTCTGATTAAACTAAAAATGAAATTTTACCTTATAGTTTTCGGGACATTGAAATACATGCCACAAAAATCTTTTTTAAAAAAAACACATAAAACTATTTTTAATTTTCCACATACTGTTTTCCTTTTGAGAAATTAAATATTATCATACTTTTCTTCCTATTTATCTTCCTAACTGCAGTTTGAATTATTGTTTTCCTTTTGAGAAATTAAATATCATCATACTTTTTTTCCTATTTATCCTCCTACCATATGAAATAACAGGGATGATAATCTCAACCCGAACCTGCCAACCCAATCTAAACCCAACCCAATAAATAACATGTTGGGTTGAGATTTTGAACCCATTTAATTAAATGGGTCAAACCTTCTAACCCGTTTAATTAAATGGGTTGGGTTAGGGTTGAAATTCCTAACTCGTTTACAACCTGCAAACCAGTTTAATATTATTAGATATTTTTTAATTTATGTTTATTTGGTTAATCATTATATTTTGATTATATTTTATCTATCAAAAACTGCGGGTCAGTAATTGTTACTGGAATTCGAGTTGGAAAAAGTGATAGTCGAGTTGCCTAGAATTTAAATTTTTAAAATTTGTAATTATTTATGGTTGTAAACATTTATTTGTATTTGTGTTATTGGCCTATAAAGTTATTTTTGCATAATTTTCAAACTTAAGCAATTATTATAGCTTTTAAATTGTATGTATTTTTATTTGATGAATTATTTGATTTTTAAGGGCTTTTTTTGTGAAAATTTAAACGGGTTAACTCGGGTTTAACCTGTTTAGTAAATAGGTTAAGTTGGAAAAACAATAAATAGGTTAACCCGATTTTAATCTATTTACAAAAAATGTTGAATTGGATTGAGATTTATCAACCTGTTTATTTAAACAGGTTGGGTTGGGTAAAAATTTTCAACCCATTTAGGCTATGTTTGGCGCGTCACAACTAGCTGATAAGCTAGCTTATTTTTCGAACTTTTTTATGTTGTCGTGTTTGGTAAGCCAAAAAGTAGCTTATAAGCTAGCTTTTTGAAAAACTACTTAGACTAGCTTTTTAGGAGCTTTTTTAAAATTTTCCAAATACACCTCTTAATTAATTATAGAAACACATATTTTTACATGTCCTTTTATGTAATTTTATATATTTCAGCTAGTTTTACCAAACGTTATTTTTTATCAGCTAGCTTTTCAGCTACCAGCTAGCTTTTTATTTAACAGCTAGCTTTTCAGCTAACAACTAGCTTTTCAGCTAGTACGCCAAACATAGCCTTAATTAAACAGGTAAACTCATTAATTATGACCCAACCCAATCCATTGTCACTTCTATGAAACAATGACAAGTGTCTTAAAATATAATCAACTAGTTTATAACCCTTAAGAACCATGACTATAAAATTAATTAAAGTTTCTAAAAACTCAAAATTTTTAATTATTTATTTTAAATAAATTATTAATTATGAGATATTTTTTAATTATATAAAATTATAATCGTTGATTCAAATAAATACGTAAAATTATATTACATTATAATGTTTATTAATTTTATTTTATTTTTTATTATAATGTTATTAATTTAATATAATTAAAATGAAAATTTTAAAATTATAAAATTAAAATGAAGAATCAATAGGTTGAAAACAAGTGACATGACATTAATTAGTAGGATTAAGATGACAAATGACAAAATAACTAGTTTTTTATCATTTCATATGGATAAAAAGATAAAAAACAGAAAAAATATAGGAATATGTTTAGTTTTAAAATATGTTTAGTTTTAAAATCTTTTAACTTTCCTATCATACAGCCATTGACAAGAACATGTTGAACATGTTGCTTTCAGGTTAATCAGATACGTATCTATGGCGCAAAAAAAAGTCTTCTTCCATCACAAGGTATTTATTAATCAGATAAGGCTCTCCTTATATAAAGCCGCTGACAAGAACAATAAAAAAGTCTTCATTACTTCCTCCATCCCAATGCAACTTGATTATTAATATATAAGTATTAAGTACCTTACTATAATTTAATATATATACAAAAATAGAAGAAAATCAAAAGATCTTATTGATAACAAGTAACAACTAACGTCCACTGATGTTTTGAGTCGTAATACGATCCGAAGCATGCATGCACGAAGAAGCTAATTATTAGATTTTGAATTCATGCACTCATGTAAAACACATAAGAAAACTAACAAGATTTGGAATTCATGCACTCATGTAAAACACATAAGAAAACTAACAAAAGGCAAGAAGCACAGGGTCACTTTGAACAACTGCCAAATCACGTTTTCCCAAACACACGAGCACTTCAATGCCATCCCTGTTTGGAGCATCCATCATAATAAAGCTATTCTTCCTTAGATCTCCAGCCATGGTCGCTTTAACAGGCTTTCCCCACCCAAAATCAATCTCATACGCAGAATACCCACACAAGCTTGAACAAAGGTAAACACTATCAAATCCTCTTTGTAGTTCTTCTAAAGGAATTCCCAAAAGATAACCAAAAGCGGTTTGAATATTTGGTAGGCCTTGAAGTTTCAGCTTTTGCTTCCTGAACTCACTGATGAACGACTCCGGCTTCATTTCACTTACAATATCAATGACCATGAAGAAGTTTCCGATGCTCTTTTCAGGCAACTTTTCCATTAGTCTGCTTCTTATGTTTATTTGATGACCAACACCGATGGGTTTGAAATCAGAGCCTGAATTGTTTTTTGTAGCTGCTGTCACTGCAGACTTATAAAGCAGCCAAGTCAAAACTTCAACACGAGTAGGGTTCGTGATGGGTTGTCCAGATTCTTCACTCATGGCTTTGATTTTGAGTTTAAGCTCGTTTATCTTTGCGTTAGGGAACATAAAACTCTTTGTAACGCATTCATCGGATCCAAGAGAAAGCCCTTTAAAATTTATATTCGTGTGTTCAAAAGGAATAAACTGAGGGTCATCGTTGTCGTTGGGAAGTAGTTCATGCTTCTGCTCTCTGGAACAAAACTGTGTCGTTTTAGCCCAGTCTTTTAGAAAATGAGTGAAACTGCTTCCATCTGCTAACTTGTGGGACAACGACATAGCTACTGCGACTCCTCCACATTCAAAATGGTTTACCTGAACAGCCAGCGGGATCACTCCGTTGCTTTGAAGATCATCGTCATCTGGACGATTGGATCTTTCATTTACGAGACCATGTGGAAAGAATTGGTCGAGATCTCGATGCAGTGAGTTTTTAAGGAAATCAGAGAGCGTGCTGTCAATGGAAGCTTCAAGGAACTCGGCTCCATGGTCGTTGCAATCTACAAAGGTTGGTGCCACCTTCGTGTGCCTACCAGCAAAAGGGTAATACTTGGTTAAAGTTTCAGATAGTGACTTCTTCAAGGTAAGTGTTTTGTCATGGGAACTTGGATAAAGGCCAGTGTTTGGATAGAATGTAACAAACGGGATGAACGTGTTCACCATGCCTTGATCGATTACTGAAAGATTGTACGTTTTGAGATGAGAAGGGGTCGGAGAAGAGGGTTTGATGATGTCTTTTGAGACGATTGTGTGAAGCTGCCTTCTACCAAATCTTATCACGCTGCCAATCATAGTCATCTTCACACAATAGAAAGGGCTTAATTTGATATCCGAATTTGCATCTTAATATTTCACTACTTATATGCCCATCATTTGTTTATTTAAATCAATAGAATAATACACCGAGCCGCGCACGATACTCGTTTCCCACCACCGACATTTAATGATCATATTTTTTATACAAAATTATTAGCTGTGGTCTATCTCGATTTGAGTACTCTCGTATCTTCTATTTATTTAATTAATCTACTATTATATTAAACTAGGAGAAAGCCATGCTCACCCTGAGGTAGTACAAAATATGAAGAAGTTTTTGTTTTCTTGTTTTTTTGTCTATATGTTTTACTTTGTATCGTTTGAATCATTTGTTTAAACATGGTGTTGGTTTATACTTGTATTTTAATAAATTTGTTAACATTTACTTCTTTTGTAGACGTTAGGTAATGGTGTAAGCAAGATAGTAGTAATAGTAAGCAAAGGTTTTAGACGGAAAAAGTTTCATATTTGGTACCTTAGTGAAACGTAGTACATAGAACATGTAAACATAGTTGATTTATCTAGTTCATACGGATCGTTTCATTGATTTCTTCTTTAACTGCGGTGATCATAGTCTCTACTTTTAAGTCGAAGAGTTCCTCATTGTTAAGAATTTGTGTTGCGTAGTTGAGGAAGTGTGGTTTATCTGACATTGTTTAACGTAAGTAAATAGAAAGGGAATTTGTTGCCTTCATTTTGTTTCGTCTTATTCACTTGTACATTTGTATGTTAATTTGGTGTTTTGGATAAAATATTAACTCCATGTCCTATTTAATTGGAGTTGTTTGAGTGTATAATACGTTTAATAAGATTTATATGCATGGTAATGTTTTTTGTTTGGTTTTTCAAACATGTCTGTTATAATTTACATGTACGTAGTTAGTTACAAGTGTCAACATTGTGGAAATTGTAACAACAAAAACTGATGATGACGAACAGTATGGTTGTTATGAGTCTTTTACTCTGCGAAACGTGCGTGTTGTGATGATGATGATGATGTCTGGTCAGACCATGTCATTACATGCGAATGTGTTACAGTTTGTAATGTGGTTAAAAAAAAATGCAAGCTATGTCTTGCCTGAATCTTCAAATGTGAGGGTTCTTGCAACCTTTGACTTAAGTGGATTTGATGATGATGTAAGATACACATCACTGATGTTGGAGGTGACTTTAATTTGTGTAGCTGGTGTCGTTAGTGCTACAGATTGGGAGGTAGTAATTCTTTCGACATCAGTGACAACAAACCGAATGTTATTTGTGGTAGAGGTTTTCATCATTTGAACAGCCATTTTTTTAGAAAAAATTTTGTACTTAGTAATGCTAGGTGGTAATTTTTTTCTATTATTGTGCTCGTTTTCTTGTATGTTCTTGTCCGATGTTGTACCAGTCAGTTTTTGCATAGCATTGTCGGACAAAGTTACATTCATTGAGTCACTGGAATCGATGATGGTTGCTAAGAGTTTGTAACTGTATATAGTATTCAAAATGGTGGATGTTAATATAAAGTTAAAGTTTCAGTATTTGTATGGATGCAGTTACTCACACATAGTTTGGACTATCAGTTGTTCCATCTGAGGTACAAAACCACGTAGTTCCTTGTTTCAGTGTTGGTCTTTAATACTTTGGATAGAGCACCTAATACCAGGTATCTACAAAGCTGAAATGTACTATGGACGCCATTACAGAGCTGAAAGAGTTGGATTGTTCGTGTAGCTGCAAATATTTTGAATCAGTCACTATAAATGTTTATCATAAAGGAGAGTAATGTATATGTTTGACGTACGTTTCTAGTAGTGTCTTTTCTTTATGGAGTTTGTGGGTTAATGTAAACATGACTTGCACTCGTTGTTCCAAGCATCAATGTACCTGTAAGGTTAAAGTGTTTTAGGGGTATGGTTAAATTTGTTTACGTATTTCAATGGGTTACTTTTTTTTCTGAGATGTTGTTGTATTGTGTGTACCTATAATGACAACCTCTTCACCACTGGTAGACATACATATTATAAATGTGAGTAAAGAGAATAATATATTATAAAATAAAAAATACTTACAAATTATTCTTCAGAATTATAAGGTGGAATGGTTCACTGTTTTTTTAAGCAGTTTCTAAACTTCACGAAAACTCCTAAAAAGTCTTCATAGGTAATTTATGTTGTGGTAAGTTGGAACAGTTGTTTTTCTGTATTTGTAAAAGACTAAGCATTGTACTTCTGTAATAGGTGTTAATGAAACTGTTTACCTGGGGATTAGTCAACAAAGTCTGGGATTTGGGTTCTTGATATAAAGTGAAACCAGTTCCGAGGAATTGTACCAGTGTTCGGAAGTAGTGTGATGGAAGAAGCCAATCCAACAGCCATATATATTGTGTTGTCTATCCATTTTTGAAAGGAACTAGGTTCTCCACATCCATATTTACAAATTGCATAACATTTGGAAACCTTGAAAACAGATTGTACATATCCTTGATCTTTTCTCTAATCTAATATTTGGATTGTATCACCCTGAGTAGTGAAGTATAATTGTAAGATACGGAGTATAGATTGTAAGAATGTGTAAAGTTGATTAGAAACTTACATATTTTTCCACCGCTAGATACCATGTTTCATATGTACGATATTGTGGTGTCCATGTGTGAATTATTCTTACTTCAACCCTTGTTCCAGGAGATCCATAGTGTAAATCGAAAATAGTTGTAAGTGTTTCAGACATACTGTTGCTGCTAAAGTTGAATCGGTAATACACATGAGGTTATTCAAAAAGAAGTATAAATGCTTTTTATATATATAGAAATGTTGTAAGGCAAAGTGACCCTGAATAAATGATGTAATATTGGCTAAATTTAGTGAGTTTGATAAGGAGTTCCACCTCATTACTATCTGCTCTGCATAAAAAAATTTAAAGATAACATTTTAAAAAATTTAAAGATAACATTCTTTGTTTTGGTCTGTGATGTGTGAGTATTGGGATCTGTAACAATTTTTGATCGAATCTGGAGATGTTGCACGAGATAATGCAACGTATAGTTGACCATGACTAAAAAATAGGATCAGGTAAGTAAACGCCAATTCTTTTCAGAGATTGACCTTGACTTTTGTTAATAGTCATGGCGTAACAAACTTTGATTGAATATTTTTTTCTAATGAATGTAAAAGGCAAATAAGGGCTTTTGTGAATGAATTTTATACGTGGCAGGTACACCCGTTTTCCAATGGAGGTCCCGGTCATTATAGTTGCTTCTATTAGTAGTGGCAGTAAGTGTGAGACCATTAGACATGTTCCGTTGCATAATCCTTCACGTTGGTTTAAGCTTCTAACTAACATAATTGGAGTGTTAACTTTCAGTGATAGTATGTGTGGAGGTATGCTTAGAAGGTTCGGCTCGTTGAGATACTCGGGTGGATAAAAACTTTCACATTCTAACATTTGATTTCCATTTGAATCAATCGAATCAACACTTTGATAAACTGTTGTAGTTCCAGGTGCAATGTTGAGAACGAAGTCATTTATGTCATGTGTTGTGCTGTTTTTGATGGCTTTTGAGAACTCTAACAATCTTATAGTGCACATGCAACCCTAGATGCTTTGGATATATGTTTTATCTAATTATACATGCAATTTGATTTTCCAAAACATTCATCCTAACTAGCATACATTTGAACAAAATAACTAGTTAGATAATTTACCTCTTAATAGGACTTGTAGTTCTTGGCCTTCAAAAGCTTTAGCACTTCAAGTGTGATGCCTCTAATGTGTCACAAACACCAAGTGCAAAAGGAGGCTTGAGAGAATAAGTTGCTTAACTCAAAATCAATATCAAACTCCAAGAATGATTGGGGTAACCGATTTTGGCTCTAGGGGTGTCTATTTATAGTGTGGCAAGTGCTAGGGTTACATCCATGCAAACCCTAATGAACCATGACTCTTCATCTTACTTAGGCTCCATGGGTTAACCTCCATGGACTATCCATGTTGGTTTAGCCCACCCAAATAACCATGGATCATTGACCCACACTATAAGAATCATTGATTTACCAAATCAGTCCCCGTATATTTAATTAGTCTCTTTTGATCACTAAATTAATTCCAAATTAATTCTTAATCAATACTAATTAAATAATATGATTTCATATTAATATATTATACTTGTAATATATTAACAAATTACAAATAATCTTATTCTCAAAAGTCCATCCTATCAAGTTGCATTGGTGAAGGCAACCCAAAAGGACCATGCTACTCTCGGGTCAAGTACATACCAATTATAGTTATGGGCTTAGACACCTAATCCAACAGTCTCTCACTTGGATAAATCTAATAACTATAATTGCAAGTACGACTTAAAACCCGACTAGCAATCGTAGCTCTTAAAAACCAATGTCGAACTCTGACCCAGTCAGTGACGCGTCCTTTAGATAAGGGATCATATAATCCTCTGTTCTTCAAGATATCAGCCGGACAAATACATGGAACAATGTCATACTTATTGTCCGGCAGTTTGTTTCTCGATCTCCGATTTGTTTGACAGAGAACTTAATTGAACACATCAATTTAGTCCCGACAGGGCACGACACATAAGTTAAACAAAATCATCGAGGGGTCCAAGATATCGCTTTTAATCCTCCAATAATTAAAAGGAACAGATAAACTTCGACATTATATGCTTGTACTAACTTTTCATCAAATCATACACAACAGTGCGTTTTATAACATCAAGTTACTGATGCGTTTTCGCACTATCAATGCACAACCAACTCATAGTCAACAACTCATATATCTAGGTTTGAAGACTTATATGATATTATCGTCTCACGATCACTCTTAATAAATTTCATGAAGTGATTCAAGTGAGCGTGAGTTTAATCCAATACCCAGACCTTATGAGCACTCATGAATGTTGTAACAAACTTTGCTATGTCTAATACACTTCAGACAATATACAAGCCCAATTCATGACAGTATTGCCTCAATACCTACTTCCAAAGTATGATCGACTGTGGATAGTTTGAATAATATAACTATTCTGGAAGTCAAAACATGCAAAATGAAACAATAGTAACAATTTACATAAGACAGCAACCTTACTTATAAATAAAAAACACATTTTATTTAATCATCAAATGTCAATTACATTTTATCTATTACAAGTTTCAAAATAGCTATCTATTCATTAAAACTAATATCATCATTCAGCCCAATGTGCCTCGCATGCTGCAAATGCTTAACCCTACTCAGTCCCTTCGTGAGGGGATCTGTTGGGTTCTCATCTGATGATACCATCTTTACCAAGAAGAGTCATTCTTCCACCCGATGTCTTATGAAGTGATATTTTCTGTCGATGTGCCTGGATCTGCCATGATCCCTTGGTTCCTTGGTTAAGGCAACCACACCCTCATTGCCACAAAAAATCTCCATAGGCTCCTTTATAGCTGGTACAACTCCAAGGTCTCCGATGAAGTTCTTCAGCCATATCACCACCAACACTTTTCTTGAACCAAAGGGCTTCTTATATAGTGTGCACATTAGGGTTACACCATGTAACTCATGACTTTCCAAATTCCTCATGATCCATGAGTTTTAACCTCCATGGAGCATCCATGGGTCACCACATGGGTTAAGCCCAACATAAGGAATCATGGATCACTAGCCCCACATTATAAGAACGAATGATTTACACAATCAATCCCTATATATTTAATTAGTCTCTTTTGACCACAAAATTAATTCCAAATTAATTATTGATCAATACCAATTAAATAATATGATTTTATATTAATATATTATAACTAATAATATATTAATAAATCATACATATCCTCTTCTCAAAGTCCAAATTGTTCCGGTGAAGTGCAACCCAAAAGGACTATGCTAAATCGGGTCAAGTACATACCAAATATAGTTATGGACTTAGACACCTTATCCAACAACTATAACCAATTTGGGATGAATGATAAGCTTCATATTGAATCCTAATGATAAACACACAAATGTTCATTGTGTTAAATTGTCTTTATTAACCAATTCTCTCCAATATTTGAGCATCTCACCATCTTGCTTAGTTGCAAGCTTTTTAGTTATTCAAGTCTTTTAGTTTTCAATCAATCACAACACCCCCCCCCCCTTTAGTTTAATTGTATTTAGTTAGTTTATTTACACTAGTTCTATTATATTGCATTGGTGATTAAATACAATCATTTCCCCGAGGACCCGATACCCCTTTTTACCATTATATTACGTTTTATTTGCAAACAAATGGTGTAATTTGCTTGGTGGACTTGACATCCCACTAGGTTTTCAAGGAGGGTCGATCTTGGGATGGAGGTTAGTAAAGGGAAAGATCTTGGGGCCATAATGGTGTTTAAATAGTGCATAAACCCTAAATATTAGGGTTTTGGACGTACTGGAGTACACGCAGTGTACTGGCGCAGGGCTTAGTACACCCAATGTACCAAGGTGTATGCCCAACGTACTAAAGCTGCACCCAAAAGTCACGGATTTGCCCTTGGGGACCCATTTTGCAAACATCTCATAACTCAAGGGTCTAAAAACAAATACCTGAAAAATAGATGTTACACTTTGTGCACCTCATTATCTATGTGATAACCATTCTTAGTGAAAACCATCTTTGTGATAATCATATTGTTCTTACGTGTTTGTGTCCGGTCATCGAACCTATAGTAACCTTCTTTTTTCGTTTGTCTTGCCCTCTTCTACAACAAAGATCTATCAATCTCATCTTCCAACTTTTCTGTTTCTTGCATCTAAAAAATCAAGAAAACAAAAGTGAATTAAATCTTTTCTCATTAAAGTAACAAATAAATTACTTAATTAACTTTACATACCATCTCAAGAAATGAGTCCAAAATATCCTTTTTTGCTCAAACTATGATTCTATTTATTATATGCACAAATTTTCAGACCAACATCACTTTTTTTCCTACATTAAAACCAAGATGAATAAGTTTGAACTTAAAAATTAACTATGTTGATTATGTTACAACATTTTAACAAACCTGCCACTTTTTTGAAATTCTTTGTGCAACAAAAAGTTTCGGGTCAGCTTTCTTCAATAATAGATACATTTCAGGAGGATCAAGTAATTTCACATTTGGATCATTTTTATGGTTATTAATATAATTCTTGAACAAATAATGTTTGAAATTTCTCCACTTCGACCTAATCGATTTGATAGTGTTCTTTCGATTCTTTAAGTCAACTACAAAGTTCATCTAAAACATAAACATAACGCTATTGTCTTTATTTATACAAGATGCAAAACCCATTATGTATCACTTTCTCTGTATTCTCCTTACTTAAAGTTGATTTATATCTATAACAAAATTTATCAAACTTTAAAGTTATAGCTAGATCGATAAAAAAAGACAAAATTGTAAAAATGGTCCCTGTGGTATGCATTTTTCTAGGTTTTAGTCCAAACTCCAACTTTTTGGCTTCGTGGTCTTTTTGTCCATGTTTCTATGTGGATTGGGTCCCCATTAAAGTTAAAATGACTAATATGCCCTTTTAATTTTGCTTTTTCTTATTTTCTTAAAAACTCTATCTTTTATTTTAATATAAATGTAATAATAAATAAAGGGCCCACCCCTCCCTCCCTCTCTTTCATCAAGCACATAAAAAAAACCCAGCAACCTAGATATCTTCTTCCTCAAAATTCGATCTGATTCCCAGAGTCCACAAATATCGATGACTCTTTGCAGTCACTCCACCCTTGTACTTCGTCTTTTTTAGAACACAATCACCATACCTGAATGATTCGTTTTCTCATTGTGTTCATCAAAACACAGCACCCACATACACTCAATGTTCATCCTTTATATAAAGCATCAAGCTCCATAATCTCTTAGTGAAACTCTATTTTGTCTGATTATGGACATCAAACGAAACAACCATACACATAATTAAAGCGTAGGGAACCCTGCATAAAATCAACACATGGATTTCGTTTTACACTACAGAACCCCCAATATCTATTTTTCTTCATTAATTGCAACAAGCAATAAAGCCAATAACATAGTTCATGAGAGAGAAGGGAAGAAGAACAACAAGAGAAACAACAAGATTGGCACTAAAGTGAAGCTTTCACCATCATCAAAGTGTAGATCTAAAGTTGAAGTCTTTAGGTTCAAAAATAGGGAACTATCCATCCTATGTTCTTCGATTTCCTGTGGGGTAAAACACACAACATCATACACATATTTGTTTGTGGAGTTCTCGATTTCCTGTGGTGAATCCCCAACCCATAGTAAGATAAATCAAGACTAGAAAACCACCCCGTCGTTTGGTGATGTGAATCGACCCTGGCATCAATCGCTAGCAAAAGATTTGCTGAGAGGAAGAGAAGAAATCTGAGGTTGTCTTACTTTGGCTGCATCCGATTGTGAGCGAGAGAGAGAGAGACAGACAAAGGAACGTCGAAATCAAAGAACCTTAATGTTCAAACTGCTGGAATCGAACCCACACTCTCCACCCCTAATGTCATATTTACATCGTGAATAACCCACTGAATCGAAAAACCCTGATGTTCGAACCCACTGAAATCGAAGAACCCTAATGTTCTCATGTTAAGAACTTCAAAAAACAAAAAAAAAACATTTGATTTCCGTTAAATAAGTCTGTTGCCATTGCCTGGGTCTTCTGGTGCCGTTGTTGGGTTTTTAGTGAATAAATTGTATATTGGTTTTTTGTGGCAACAATTCTATATGCTATTAAATGATTATTTCTCTTATGATTTGTGTGTTTAAGGCGTGTGTTTAAATGGTGGAGAGAATAAATCAAAAAGATCTGGAGAGTGTGTGGACGAGTGTGTGCTCTTAAGTTTTGAAGAACTAACGATTTGGAGAGAGAGAGAGAGAAAATAAGAAAAAACAAATTAAAAAGATATATTAGTAATTTTAACTTTAACAGAGACCAAATCTACATAAAAATACGGTCAAAAGAACTAGGAAACAATAAAAATCAAGGTTTTGAATTAAAATCTAGAAAAAATACATACCATTTTTTTTAGTTTTGTCTAAAAAAAAAAAATAGAGATATAGGTACTTATAGATACTAACAATACGTCGCCATTTAACTCCCATTTAAATAAAACTTCTAACGCCGTAAATAAGCCGCTAATGGAACCTATCTAAAAAACCATCCCTCAAAGCTCACGCCGGCCAGAACTCCGGCCTTCCCTTCCGCTCCAAATTCACAGAATAACTTCATCTTCAATTGGGAAGAGCGTTCGATTATTTATCTTTTTCTTTCTGCTACATTTCTGAAGCTCAGTGTTGATTAGTTTTCACTGAGGATGAAAGCATCATGAGATATAAACAGCGCTAATCTGCTCCCTGCGAAACCACAACCTACGCACTGGAGTCGCTTCCTTCAATCAATACAGTAACGTTATACGTCCATTTACTCTTTCTATTCAGCTACTTTTACTGAATTTCATGGCATCTCATTGTATTTCCGCTTCTTCGTTGTTCCCCTCAACTTCCTTATCACGTCGACTACAATCTCGAAGAATTAGACGCTTACCTAACGCTAATTCATCAATTACATGTCATATATGTAACTCAGAACCCGAAGAAGAATCAAAAAATAAGATAACTGCTTTGAATTTACTCCAAATCTCTGTAACCCTAACGATAATATCGGCTTCACTACCCCAGCCCGTATTAGCAGCCAAAGTTTCACAAAAGAAGCGTCCTCCCAAAAAGACGAACACATTAACACCCGAAGAGTGGAAAACATGGTCACAAGGGCTCCCTGTCGTAGCTAATCGAATTCCATATACTGATATTCTGAATCTGAAACAAGATGGAAAGCTTAAACACATAATTAAACCCCCTGGTCGAGGTTTAAAGGAAAGACCTGTAGTTGTTTTAGCTGTTTTAGAGGATTCTAAAGTTGTCAGACTTGTGGTGCCTTCAATAGACAGTGATCAGAAGTTTTGGGAATCATGGGATGCAATGGAGATCGATTCAATATGTGTTCAGGCGTATACTCCACCTGTTAAGATGCCAGATGTTCCTCCCCCCTTTTTAGGGTTCTTAGCAAAAGTTCCTGTCTGGATCTTTTCATTAGTGAAGCCAAAACCAGTCTCAAAAAAAGTCTTGGAGTTAAGGAAAGCAAGAGAGGAGCTTAAGAAGAGCAGAAGCAATGAGATGTTGAGTAGAAAGAAAGAGATAGCACAAATGGAGAAGGCAATGAGAGCACAAAAGAAGATGGAAGAGAAGAAGAAGAAAATGGAGGAACAAAAGCTCAGAAGTGAACAATCCATGATTGAAGCTGAAATGACATACTCTCGCATGTCTAACATGTGGAGAGATTTAGCGCGCGACTCCAATGTTACATTGGTTATTGGGTTGTTGTTCTTTGTTTTGTTCTACAAGACTGTTGTTTTAAGTTACAAGAAGCAGAAAAAGGATTATGAAGATAGGTTGAAGATTGAGAAAGCAGAAGCTGAAGAGAAGAGGAAAATGAAGGAATTGGAAAGGGGAATGGCAGGACTTGAACCTGGGGAAGATGATGATGATGAAGAAGGAAAGGAAGGTGAGGAGAATCCTTACATGAAAATGGCTGCTCAGTTCATGAAATCTGGAGCTAGGGTTCGTCGTGCACAAAATACAAAACTTTCACAGTATTTAGAAAGAGGGGTGGATGTGAAGTTTACAGATGTAGCTGGACTTGGGAAAATTCGACTTGAATTGGAGGAGATTGTCAAGTTTTTCACACATGGTGAAATTTATCGCAGGCGAGGTGTCAAAATACCAGGTATATGATACTTACACTTTGTTTGGCGTACTAGCTGAAAAATTAGCTGTTAGCTGAAAAGCTAGCTGGTAGCTGAAAAGATAAATGTTATATCGTAAGTTAGCTGATAAAAAATGACGTTTGGTAAACTAGTTGAAAGATATAAAATGACATAAAAGGGCATTTAGAATAAAATGTTTTTTTATAGTTAATTAAGGGTATATTTAGAAAATTTAAAAAAAGCTTCTGAAATGTTAGTCTTTGGCGTACTAGCTAGTAGCTTAAAAGCTAGCTGATAAAAATGACGTTTGGTAAAACTAACTGATAAACTAACTGAAATATATAAAATGACATAAATAGACATTTAAAAGAATATGTTTTTAATAATTGATTCTGGGTATATTTGGAAAATTTTAAAAAAGATCCTAAAAAGCTAGTCTAAGGTTATGTTTGGCATACTAACTGAAAAGCTAGTTGATAGCTGAAAAGCTAACTGTTAAATAAAAAGCTAGTTAATAGCTGATAGCTGAAAAGCTAGTTGATAAAAAATGGTGTTTGGTAAAACTAGCTGAAATATATAAAAAGACATAAAAGAACATTTAAAAGAATGTGTTTCTATAATTAATTAAGGGGTATATTTGGAAATTTTTTAAAAAGCTCCTAAAAAGCTAGTCTAAGTAGCTTTTTGAAAAGCTAGCTTATAAGCTACTTTTTGGTTTGCCAAAAATAACAAAACTTAAAAAAGATCGAAAAATAAGTAACTTATCAGCTTAACTGTGACACGCCAAACACAACCTTAATATTTCAATACTATATATTTTAGCATCTTGACGATTACATAAACATACAATAATCAAAATTTCAATACTTTATCCCTTTCAATGTAATGAAATTATCTTTGAGGCTTCACATGATATGCTTATTAGGTGGCATTCTCCTCTGTGGGCCCCCTGGAGTGGGAAAGACTTTGTTAGCAAAAGCAGTAGCTGGTGAAGCAGGTGTAAACTTCTTTTCCATTTCCGCATCACAATTTGTTGAAATATACGTTGGAGTCGGTGCTTCACGTGTTCGTGCACTTTACCAAGAAGCAAAAGAGTGTGTAAGAATCACACTTTCTCATCTTTTTATATAAAAAAAAAATTATTTAACATTCTGATATTAATATTCTCCATCTTATTAGGCTCCATCTGTTGTGTTCATTGATGAACTTGATGCGGTTGGAAGGGAACGTGGTTTAATCAAAGGTTCCGGTGGACAAGAACGTGATGCAACTCTAAATCAGGTCAGATTAATTATATTCCATTAAAATTATTAATTATTAATTTTTTTTTCATTTACTAATTATTTTTATTTTTCAGCTGCTTGTATGTTTAGATGGATTTGAAGGAAGAGGTAATGTGATTACTATCGCTTCCACAAACCGACCCGATATTTTAGACCCTGCTCTTGTGAGACCAGGGCGGTTTGATAGAAAAATATTTATTCCAAAACCAGGCTTAATCGGACGTGTTGAAATTTTAAAGGTTTAATTAATTAATTAATTTTTATTTTCATTGGAGTATTATTATTATTATTATTATTATTATTATTAACTGTTTTTTGTTATTATATTTATAGGTGCATGCGCGAAAGAAACCAATGGCTGAAGATGTAGACTATGCTGCTGTTGCTACTATGACTGATGGAATGGTTGGTGCTGAGCTGGCGAATATTGTTGAGGTGGCTGCCATTAACATGATGCGTGATGGAAGAACTGAGGTTTTTTTTTTATTTTTTTTTTTATTTTTTTATTTTTTTATGATTTCTAGTAAGTATACATCAACATATATACATATTTTGTTTAATTTGTGTGTAGATAACAACAGATGACTTGTTACAAGCTGCACAAATAGAAGAGAGAGGAATGCTTGATAAGAAGGAAAGAAGCCTTGAGATCTGGAAACAAGTGGCTATCAATGAAGCAGCAATGGCTGTTGTAGCAATCAACTTTCCTGATCTTAAAAACATTGAATTCGTATAATTCATTCTCAACATTCTTTATAAATTCTAATTTTAATATTAAAAGTAATAACAATAAATATTTATTTTGATCAGATTAATATCGCACCAAGAGCAGGGAGGGAATTGGGCTATGTGCGTGTGAAAATGGATCATATCAAATTTAAAGAAGGCTTGTTGAGGTACACAACACAACAATAGATTTAATTTCATTTTTAAATCCTTTTAATGTTTTTTTAATTTAATTTTTGTAATTATTTGATACAGTCGGCAGTCACTATTAGATCATATTACTGTTCAATTAGCGCCACGAGCAGCTGATGAGATTTGGCATGGTGAAGATCAGGTGACATAATTTTTTTTTTTTTTTTTTTTTTTTTAAATTTTTGTAAGTAAAAGTTGATTAATATAAACTGTGCAGTTGAGTACAATATGGGCTGAAACATCTGACAACGCCAGGTCAGCAGCACGGACACTCGTACTTGGTGGTCTTTCTGACAAATATTATGGCGTATCTAATTTTTGGGTTGCTGATAGAATCGATGTATAATTTTTTTTTTAAACTTTATATTATATTTTCACTTTTATTATTATTATATCTGATACAAAATTTTAAAAAATTAGGAAATTGACACGGAGGCATTGCGGATCTTGAACATGTGTTACGGGCATGCAAAAGAGGTATATTTCATATCATTATAATATCATTTATTTATTTATTTATTTTTGTTTTTTTTTGTTTTGGTTAGATTTTGGAGGGAAATAGGAAACTGATGGATGCTGTTGTTGATATGCTTGTTGAGAAGAAGAGTCTAAACAAGCAAGAATTGATTGATTTGGTTGAGTTGCATGGGTGTATAAAACCCGCTCCACCAAGTGTAGTGGATCTTAGGGCTATAAAACGTGAACACATGCAATCAATGTTGAACCACAAGGAAGAAGAAGCTAGTAAGGCCACCATTTGAATGATATGATAATTTGTCATGTGGTGGAGGGAGGGGTAAATTGGTAAAATTACCCAAGATGATGGAATTTATAATAATGGTTATTGGGACAGAGGTGGAGTTTTGTTGAGTTGAAATTTTTGTAAAGCGATTATTGCGAGAAAGGAAATGTAAGGTGTATTGTTTTAGATTTGTAGATTTTAGAGATTCACACTTCACAGTTTTAACTCACTCAAATCTTTGTGTATTCTATAATGTTTTTCAATTTTTTTTTTTTTTTTTTTAAATTTATCAAGTTGATGCCGTTTCAAGAAAATAAATATTTTTGTGAAAAAAACCCATTTGGAGAAAAAGGGATTATTTTATGCTAAATATTCAAAATGTTTTTTTGTGACATAACATCATTTTTTTGGTCATTGTGTTATTGAGATTAAATAACAGTTTTAGCTTAGATTAAAAAAAAAAAGAGTAAATTATATGAATGGAAAGGGAACTTCCCTAACTTATATGAATGGTATGGAAAGAGTAAACTATATGAATGGTATTAGGGTAATTTGTGCGTTTGGTCCTTAACTTATTTTTTTTAACTCGGACCGTTTTAATAGTTTGATTTTGTTGTGTCATTGGTCCTTGACGGACTTAAAATGACTAATATACATTTATTTTATTACTTTAATAATTTTATTTATTGTTAACTTATTACAAGAAATTGTTTAATAGATGTAGGTTTCATTCACTCACCCATCTCTTCCATCGGTCTCCTCTCAACTCCCTTTTTACCTTACATGACCTTACATATCTAATGTTTATTTTTCTTATACCAGTTTATTTCTCACAATCCATTTTTACCTTACATATATGAGGTTTATACATAATTATTGTTTTTATAAGAGAAAATAAGTTTAAAAAATAAATAAATTAGGGACAAAACGTGAAAATTACCCTAAAGCATAGGGACCATTTGTGTAATTTACTCAAAAAATAAATAAATAAATAGAAAATTACAAATTTAGCCTAATACCCTAATTCCTTTGTGGAAAATAGCAAAAAAAAAAAAAAAAAAAAAAACAGAAATTGCAAAATTAGCCACTGAAATCGCAGATGGAAACACCCCATCTGTGATTTTGCCTATCCATCTGCGAATGTAGAAGTGCCTAAAACACGGTTGTGCTTTAGGCACTTGTACATTCGCAGATGGATTAGTCCATCTGCGATTTCGTGAGTCCACCTGCGATTTTGGATCTTTTTTTGTATAAAACCGTTTTTTTCCCTTCATTTTTCACTCTCAAGTTTAGGAAAACTCTCTCTCTGCGATTTCCTTTGACGATTTCTTCAACAATCCTGAAAATATGGTAAGATTTTAACTCATTTTATGTTTTAATCAACATTTATTTAGTGTATGTTTTTATTTATTTATTATTTATTGTATTAGTTTTTGTAAAAAAAATGAAACTTTATTATTTGTTATTGGGTAATTTTGTTGTATTTGATAGATATAATATTATTTATTAGTATTCTTAAAGTTTTAATGGTATTTTGTTAGTGGTTGTATGAATGTACAAGTATAGACTGCGTAAAATATGCATTGACTTGTTGTACATTTAGTAAAAAGGTTAGAATATGTTATTTTTTTTAAGTTGAAAGTTAAAAAAATTGTTCCAAATCATGTATAATTGCATGCATGTACTTTGTTTATAATAATGATTACAATATGTTTGGTTAGTGGTTGTTTGTATGGTTGTCGTATAACTTGAAAAATTGTATATAGTTGTCGTTTAAGTTGAAAATTTGTTATAGTATGTTATTGTTTTTCAGCGTAAATATAGAAATTATTAATTGAATGTTGGTTTATGCTTTGTTTATGTTTGTAAATTGAATGTTGGATTATTTATTCCATTTAATATCCGAATATTTTTAAAGGAAATAGTTGTTTAGTTTTCTAATATGTTGTTGTTTTTTGCAGCATGATTATAATAATTTCAACGTGAAAGCTATTGTCAACTTAAAAGGATCGGGGTGTAACATCTGGGAAGTATTTGAGGTGTTACATGGTGCAAGACGCAATATTTTTAGACGAACTGTTTTTGGTTACTTGTTGGACGTCCCTCATTTACAAGGGGACGAATTGTTGTTCCACAAGATGTTTCTTCATCAGATACGGCCGGACGCTGTTTATCCCCAGATGACATAAAACGGTTATATTTTAGAGTCGGGGATACGAAAATGGCATATGGTCCGGAAGAGTTTTGTTTGATAATCGGGTTTAATTTCGGCAAGTATCCCAAAAATATTGGCAAAAAAGTGTCAGAAAAAAAAGTTACTACTAAAAAAAGATATTTATTGCGTGAACGTCTATTTCCGAACCATACAAATAGTTCGGTGAAAATCGGTGACCTGAAAAGTTTTATTTTAAATCAACCATTCTTAGAAGCTAGCGACGATGATGCAGTTAGAATCTGTCTGATATACGTTTTGTGTGAATGATTTTTGGGAAAAGAAATAAACGATCGGGTGCCGCAAGACTGGTTTTTTTTGCTGAGAATTTGGATGTGTGGAACAGGTATTTTTTGTTTACTTTGAAAGTTTCATATTATTAATGTTAATTTATATTATAATTAATAATTTTTTTGGCAGTTTTGCTTGAGGTAGCTATTTGTGTGGGACTTTACCTATGACGACCTTGAGGATACGTGGAACAAGATAGATAAATATTTATCACTGCCGGAGTGTGGTCAAACTTTTAAATACTCCGTTTCAGGATTTACGGTGCCATATAGGGTATACAAATTTATTATTATTTGTAAGAATTTATTGATATGTTAGTTATTTTAATTTTAATTTTTGTTACTATAATTGTGAAAATTGTAGATATGGATATATGAGATGCTTCCAGCTGTTCGTGCTGGTGGATTTGCGTTGAGAAAAAACAGAGACACGCCTAGGATGAAACGATGGAGTGACACAAAAAAATTGAAATGGGTTGATGTGAACAAGATTTTTACAACGACAAAGGTTTATAAAAAATATTTTTATTTAAAAAAAATCCTTATTACACTTTTATATGCATTTTTAATATGTTAAATTGTTTTAGGAGGGACAACGACCAAGAAATAAAATGTCACCGAGTGATGATGAAATGACATCTACTTATTATCAAGGTTGTAAAAGCTGTTCGGCGGTAGCTCGGCGGTTGACTGACGATAAGCGATTAATCGGACTAAGCGGGGATTAATCGTCAATTAATCGGGGACCCTAAATTATAAATAAAATTATTTAAAAAATTAATATTTCCTAAAAAATGAAGTATTTGAAAATTTAAAATTTTAAAAATATGAAAATTTGCAAATTTTAGTATAATATTTTAAAATTTGAAAACTTAAAATTTTGAAAATTTAAAAATTCGATGTAATATTTGAAAATTTAAAATTTTGATTTTTTAAAATATTGCCTATGACCGCCGAGGAGCGCCAAGACCCACCAAGGACCGCCAAGCCCGAGTTGACCAATTTCCGCCAAACACCCTAATCGTAATTGGTTCAAGGCCGCCAAACGATTAATCGCCGATTAATCGGCCGCCAAGGCCGATTTCTGCAACACTGCTTATTATATGTCATTTCAAGAGTATGTATATGGTGAACGGAATTCAGTCCCTTCCCCAGTACGGGACCATTTTAGGAGACAAGACGAATCTTCGTCCAATATGTCATCTAATGGTCGCTCTCACGGTAGAGGTGGACGTAGTGGGAAACCTAGGTTAGGGGAGGTGTTGAAACGGCTACATGCACTGGAGCAACAAGTGTTTATGAACCGAGAACCTACTGAGGTATTTGTAGAAGAAGTGGATAATGAAGATTTATGGAAGAACATCAGTTTTGAGCAACCTGCAGTATTCCAAACAAATTTTGTTGAAACGGTTTGTTACACGCTACATATTTATATTTATATAATTTGTTAAGATATTTGAAAATTTTTGTTAATATTTTATAACTGAAAATGTTGGTTGTAGAAGATGAGGCGTTAAATAAAAATAAAACAAATGAAAATGTTTTTGTTGATAATGAAGACGACAGGGTTATTATATATATTACAATCACGATTTTAAATGTTAAATGTTAAGGTGTCTTTCGTTAATAATTATAATATCTTAATTTTAATATAGGAGTTGGAGGAGAGGATAGACAATGTGGGTCGTAGTAGGAACAAATTTGATGATGATGTGTTTGATAAGTATGATAGTGAAGCTGAAGAGGTTGTTATACTTACATTTATTTATTTTATTTTTTAGTAGATTCATACATTTTTTTAATTAAAGATTATTTCTTATTAATTTAGGTGTTGGAGGAAGATTTAATAATTACGGGGAATGTAAATCATTTTGATGATTATGTTTTTGATGTCAACGAAGTTACACCCTATAGACCGAGGGCCCAAAAGCCATCACAGTATATGCGTACTCCTTACACCGAGGTATTTGTTTAATTTAAATGCTTATATCTTAATTATACATTTTTATTTTTATGTGAATTATTTGAAACATAGAGATTTAAATATTTCAATATTGTTTTAGTTGCACACGACACCAAAACAAAAAAGAAGACCAAAGAAGAAGATTGATGCCAAACCTACAAGCCTCGTTCCTCCTACAGCATTTGTTGTTGATCACGACTTCTCGGTGTTGAGCCTACAACCTTATGTAGCAGGCGGTGAGGTTGTTTTACAAAATTATTTATTTCATGCATATAAGATGCAGCACCGTTTGTACAATTTGGTATTAGATAGAGATTTTTGGAGTGCATTGTTTGGGCATACACACGACGGATGGTTGGACGAAGCGGTAAAATGTCTTCTCATTTATTATTGTAATTGTTTTTTATTTATTAGTTAATAACAAAAGTATCATAACTTTTGCAGTATGTGAACATTTGGTATAGACTATTGATGGAGAGACGATTTGATAGTGACCGACATACAATAATGCCTCCAAATATTTTTCCCATGCTCTTGAGGATGGTTACGATTGGAGGACGTTTATATCTGGTATTGCTACATACCCAACTTCATGGTTGCTTGGTGGAATGTGGATACGGTAAACTGAATTTTAATTTTTGAAATTAATTATTGTCGTTTTGTTTTTGTATTGTGATATGTAAAGATAAATACTTATTTTTTAACTTTGTACAGGTCTTAATATCGATTCATTCATTCCCTAATCAC